GAATTTTCCGAGCTCTTCATGACGACTGAGTATCCGTGATTTTTAAAAGACAAAACACAATTTGAGGATTTAAAGAAAAAAAAAAAAAAAAAGTAGGTTGAAAAAGAAGTCGTTATGTCTCCATCATTTCCAGAACAAACCTTGACTGATTGAGATCCCAGATAATGATAGCAGGGGACTGGGGATAGTGGTGGTTCACGAGCTGCAAATGTTCGCACTGGGCGCTCCGGGAAGGCCTGGGAGACGCAGACGGGAGACGGACCGGCCATTCTGAACGCCTTCTTTGAGAAAGCAGAGGAGTACGGAGTACAAGAGGCACAAGCATCTCCCATCCGAAAATCAGCTGGAAGGATTGAGGCGTTTCCTGGCCCCCGTCTCTGGAACACCTGCATTCGGCCCTCGTCAGGAACTGGTTTACTCCCCACACCGCACCCAGCCCCGGGTCCTGCCCCTGGCCCAGAACTCCCCCAGGTCCACCAGCCGCTGTGGACTCTCTCACGCCTTCCCTGAAGGTCACGAGGAAGCTCTTCTCCAGCTGTCACCGGCTGCTCCTGTGGCCCAGTCCCCTGACCTGAGCGGCAGGACTCCCCGTCGGCCGGCTGTGCCCACTGGCTGCACAGCAGCGCTCCTGAAAGCCTAGGCCTGGGCTTCCCCGGGCCTCGTTCAAGGCCGCTCCCGGCTGCCGACTTCCCCATCTGCTTGTCGCGGCCCAAGGCCTCGCGCAGGGTCCACGGCCCACCTGTCACCACCTGTCACCAGCAGCTCCGAATCCGTGCCTTCCCTGCGTTAACCACACGTCCTCAAAATTCATTTCCTCCCCTTAAAACTTCGCAATATCCCTGAGACGTGCAATCATTGCAAAGCATGATGTAAGTGACATACAAATGTTCCTTTCTGAGATAATTTCTGTATTAAAACATAACAACCTTGGCAGCCAAACTGGCCGAAACAAACAGAGTCAGGATCAAACAAAGGAAGCCCGAGTGTGCGGATGAAGGAAGCCCAGAGCCCCAGCTCGGACCAGCCAGAGGCAGAGCCTTGTCCCGGGAGACTTTCAGGATTAAAACTTTATGACATTTCGAAGAAATGAGACTATGTTGAAACTCACCAATCACTAAGTTATTGTCAACACAGACTTTTTGGCTGCTTTTATGCGGATGGGGTATTTCACACTGAACAAAATATTAAGAAATCAAAGAACGGTCCAAACTAAAGCGCTGATCTTACATACACGAGTTTTCCTCAAAATAGTTATTCTGTTTTTAACTCAACACTATATGCCCTTTTCAAAGATACAGAGAAAGATAGGGCACTTGAATTACTCACTTCCAGTCCTGCTCAACCAGTTTTCCATCAAGGGCATGGTCTGGAGGGACACAGGTCCCAGGGACTCCACTGCGGGCTCCCTGAGATTTAGCAGGAGGGCAGAGGAAAAAGGGCGCCTTTGCTTGTCCTGCCGGGAGGACCCCACGTGTGTCCATCCTCCATCAGTGTTGGGCCGGGGACTCACCTCCAAAGCGCACGCCCTGTGTCCTAATAAGCCCATCCCGGCCTGTTTCGGCACGTCCCCAACAGGGAAGGGTTTGGGGCGCTGGCTGAGGCAAGACGCAGGATACTTCTGTACCTGTTCTGTTCTTCTCGCTATCAAAGAGGAGTCCTTGTGGCTGGATTGCCCAGGCCCTTTCCCCAGGCTGCTCACATCATTAGGAATAGTTATTCAGGGCAATAAAACCCCAACAGCGAACAGTTTTACGTCAGAGACCCAGGGCCCGGCTCTGGCAAAGTTCAGAAAGAACAGCAATAAAATCGTAATGCGTACCTCACCCGGCACCAGAGGGAGTTTTAAAGAAACACAGGGGAGAGAAAAATCATACACATCAGACAAAAAGGTCATTTGATCATCAGGGCAAAGCCAACTCCCACTGCCAAGTATGAAGAGGGGGGACCGAAGGCAGCTGGGCTGTCCCCGGGCCACAGGGGAGCACGGCAGGGCGGGGACGGCCAGGAGACAAGGGAGATTGCGCACTGGGCGGCCAGAAACAGGTCTCGGCCCCTTGTGTTCGGGAAAAGCGACAGAGAACTCCTAGAAGTTTCCCATTCAAGATAGCAAACTGAACAACCATTATTCCCTACCTCCCATAAATCCACTCAAATTGCCATAAACAGAAACATGAAAGCATTCACAGTAAAGCTGGGTAATGAGAAAATGGCAGCATAAAGTAATAAGGAACTCGGGGTACTTGCTAGAAAATCCCAATCCCGTGGGATCAAGAGGACGGGACAACAATCCCATCCGAGGCGGGAAGGAGAGTCACAGTGCCAGGCGCAGTGCCAGGACGTGGCAGCAGGGCGGCCAAGGGGCATCCGGTGTGCCGGGCCGTGCAGGGCTGCTCTGGGAAGGGGGCAGAGGCCTGAGGAGACCCGGGCTACAAGGGGGAACATCCCCGGGGCTTCAGGCTCCCCCCCACACCACCGACACCAGAACCGACACGGGAGGGACCAGGGAGGTCTGGGCTCGCCCGGTGGCCCTGCCCACACCATCCCTGACCCTCTGAGAGGGACAGAGATGACAGGGGTCAGTGGGCGACAGGGCACACGTGATCAGACAGGGCAACGACCATAATAAACATTAGTGGACGAATTCTCCAGATAAAAGGCAAAGGCTCTCGGAAGGAGAACTCTGCCATTTGGTGAGACAAACCTGGAAGGTTAAGATAAGTGTGTAGAGACATGTCTGTCAGCTAAAGAAGCCAGGGCAGAACCGCTTTTAAAAGATATAATATTCGTGAGTTCGAGCCCCACATCGGGCTCTGTGCTGACAGCTCGGAGCCTGGAGCCTGCTTCGGATTCTGTGTCTGTCTCTCTCTCTCTCTCTTCCCCTCCCTCACTCACATTCTGTCTCTCTCTCTCTCTCTCTCTCAAAAATGAATAAACGTTCAAAAAAAATTAAAGGCATAATAAACTTTTAGGCAAAGAAACATTAAACAAAGAAAAATACCATATATTCTATCCCAAGAACTGAATTACCAAGAGCTAGCCGTTAACGTTTACGCACAGACAAACACACCAAAATACGTAAAGCACCAAAGGATCAGCCGTGCAAAAAGAATACTGCAAACTACAATTGTAATAGACAACTTCACATCTTTGTAGAAATCGAGCACCAAAGAGTGAGGCTATGCTGCTTTAAATCACTCGATGAAGGTAACATTCATAGATAAACAACACACAAAGACTACGTACACTCCTGTATAGAAGTATATGATACGCACGCACGAGAAAACTTTATACACATACGAACTTCTTTAGGCACAAAAACGGGAACAAAAGAGCATTTTTGCCCTTCAAGTGCGTGGCTGGCACGGACCAGATCAGGTCATGTCTATACCAAAACGTGCACCCCCATGTACACAGGGACGTAAATTCAAACAATCATTTCCCGTAGCATAGTGGCAACAGTGAAATGGACTAAATCCACCGAGTGCCGGGGCAGATGAAGAAAGGAACACTCTGTGTGCTCCTAAACTGTAATTAAGAAGGTAAGTTAAGACCGTGTCTGGACCAGCGTCTGAAGCTCATGCCCCCAACCTCGCAATTCTACTTCGTGGAACTGATCCACAGGAGACGACTTGCAGAAGCGTCTGTACAAAATAATTACGTGATGCCAATTTGGGGCTGTTATAAATAGTGCTACAGCCGCATGGATGTCCACCTATAAGCTATCGAAAATAAGATTGACGGACATACCAACATCAGAAGATGCTCATAACATATTAAAATTGAAAAGAGAACACGGAACCCCACATATGGAATGATTACACTCTTGTAAAATGTTTGCACCCACACCCCTCTATGTTTATACACAGGAACAAGGCACACCCCCAACTCAACAGCGGTGGCTCGAGGAGTGGGAGGGGGAGCTGGGCACCGCTCGCATCTACCTTACACACTTCAATGCAGACTGCTTAATTTTGCTTTACGCTTTACAGCAATCAATACACGAACAATTTAAATCAATAAAGCTTTCCTATCTAAATATAACCGGGAATCCTGCTCTTTGAGGCTCCTGGCAACTCCAATCAGAGCCAAAGGAAGGTGTGAGAATGTTCTGGAGCGATCCCAAAGGGGAAGACCCAGACCCTGACCCTCCACGTCCACTCTACTGGGCCAAGCCCCGAGGCACACTAAGAGAGACGTGGGTGCCACAGGGACACTTAGCATCCGTCCGGGCGAGCCCCACCTCCTCTCTCACACGGATGCAAGACAGAACTGATCTCTAAGTGCCCTTAAAGACCACGTTGCACCGGAAGAGGCAGCAGGCTGGGCAGCAGACAGTGCTGGCTCTGGAGGGGGGTCGGTCCCGGCGGACAGGGCGGGACAGTACCGCGGGCTCTACGCGGGAACACACAGTGTGGCTCCGCAAGGGCAGAAGGAGAAGCCCTGAGTGCACGTGCCCGTGACACTTTGCCACTGACTAGCTCTGTGACCTCAGGCAAGTCACTTCTTCCCTCCGGGTCTGAGATTTTTAGGGCCCTGTGAGAACCCTGTGCAAGCCAGATGCTCCGTGCAGTGCCTACTACAAAGCACGGACCCAGGAGCGAGTCCCGTGGCCACCGAGACAGGTGCGGATCGGGTGCCGCACCTCAGACCCAGCCCAGGTGCCCCATCGCAGAGGCACTCCCGCCCCACCAAGTCCCCTCAAAACCAAAGAAACCGGATGAGGAATTAACTCTCCAAATCACAGACCGCCCTAAGTGGCACCTTGCTGACCACGAGCCTCCTCTCCTCGCATCAATGGAAACCACACGCCGTTTTGGCTACGTGCAAATCAAAACCAAAGACACGACCCCAAACCGCTGAGGGTGAAGAACCCACCACCTACTCTGCACTGGGCGGTCACAAACCAACAGTGGCCATGCATCGAGCCAGCAGCGGCCACGCGGTCTCATCTCGAAAGGACGGCCCTGCCATCTGCCAAGAGACAAAGGGCCGCGTCTTACCTGGATGGCTTTGGGAGCTCATTGCTAGCAACGTCCACTCCTTTAAGCGGTTCACAACGGCTCACAACTTCCACGTAAACAACAGCTCCAAAGAGCCCCCGAGTTCCACGGACACATACACGGACAGCAGCAGGGAGTGCTGGCGCACGGCCACGAGAACTCCCAGTCTTGCTGACCACGCGTCGTGGGCCAGGTCATCCAAGAGGCGGGCTCTCAGGAGGTGACCTGTGTGGTTAGAGAAGGAAAAGCAGCGTCAGTGAGGGTGTGAAGGCTCTCATCCGACAGCAACAACTGAGCAAAACAACTGAGTTGTCCTCACGGATTTTACTACCGATGGTAAACGGTCTGCCGTGGGATCGGCTCTCCAGATACAAACCACCTGGGGGTTTTGTGAGTAAATAGGTGTGAAAACACGTTGTAGAGCAGCGGCGCTAAGCCTTGGCAGGATCGACGCGAAACATTTTAGAAGAAAAATCTACACAAGCCTGTTCCCACCATGTGGTTTTTCATTTGTGCGTACTTCCACCCGGCCCATCGCACAGACGTCCATATCCATACACATCGTATCCGTTCAGCCGTCCGTATCCAGAGACCACGTCCATGTAGACACCGTATCCATACAGACGTCTGTATCTGTACAGCCACCATATCTGTACAGACACCATATCTGCCCATATATCCGTATCTGTGCAGATATTCGTATCTGCGCCGACACCATATCCACACCACTGTCTATAACCACATAAACACCATTATCTGTACAGACACCGTATCCACAGCCATCCACATCTGCACAGACATTTGTATCCATATAGACACTCATATCCACACAGCAGTCCATATCTGCACAAACACTGTATCCGTACAGACATTCGTATCTGTACAGATGCAGCACGCGTATAGCCACGGTATCCGTACAGATGTCCATATCCGCACAGACATTTGTATCCGTACAGACACCTGTATCTGCACAGCAGTCCATATGTGCACAAACACTGTATCCATACATTCTCATCTGTACAGATGTCCACGTCCACACGGACACCGTATCCGTACAGACGCTGTATCCATATAGCCAAGGTATTCACACAGACATCGTATCCGCACAGATGTCCGTATCCATACAGACATCCATATCCACAGACACCATACCTGTGCAGACATTCGTATCTGCAGAGACGCCATATCCGCACAGCCATCTGTATCCACACAGACACCGTATCCGTACAGACATTCGTATCCGTACAGACACTGTATCCGTACAGCCACCCATATCCTCACAGGCACCGTATCCGTTCAGACTTATGTATCTACATAGACGTCCGTATCCGTACAGACACCATATCTGCACATCCATCAGTATCTGCACAGACATTTGTATCTGTACAGACACCATATCCACATAGCCATCTGTATGCACACAGATACCGTATCGGTATACAGTTTCCACACAGCCATCCATATCCACACAGGCACCGTATCCATACAGACATATGTATCCACACAGATGTCCATATTCGTACAGGCGTCCGTATCTGCACAGACATTTGTATCCATACAGACACCAGTATCCGCACGGTGGCCCGTATCTGCAAAAACACTGTATCCGTACAGACATTCGTATCTGTACAGATACTGTACCCGTATGGCCATGGTATCCATACAGATGTCCATATCCGCACAGACATCTGTATCCGCACAGCGGTCCATATGTGCACAAACACCATATCCGTACATCCATATCCGTGCTCCACATTCCCCAGCCTTCGCTCAGCTTCCTCACCGGACGCTGCACCTTCGGTAACTCCCCGAGTTTCCGCCTTCATCACGGCCACCTTCTCAGCTGATTTCCGTTTTCTGATTACAAAAGTAGTAACACACTCACCACAGCTGAGTATTTCAAGTTATCCATGATGCTGCCACAGAGGCCAACACATGGTAAGGTTCGGACCTGTTTCCTTGCTGTTCTTATTTGCCCTCTGCCCACACAGACTGCTAGCTCTGTGGTTGTGTGTCTTATTCTCTGTACTGACGTTACAGCCAGGAATGGTGCGACTCTCTCTCTCGGTAACACAGCTTTGAAGGCTGCTTCCTAGTCCATATACGGCCGGGCCTACCCCTCCTCACAACTAGGCTGGCACGTGTTACAAGCCACACTCATCAAATCCTCTCCCCAAGCCCAGTCTCCCCCATGAAACAGAGCCACTTGATAGAAGGGCCCGGAGACAATTACAAGAACTCCTACCACCAACTGTTGGCTTCTGGGGTGGCATCACGGATGATATATCTTTAATCCTCGCCTGTGACTGCATCATCAGAAAATGGAAACAAACTGGAGCGTCCAACTCTTGATTTCAGCTCAGGTCATGATGTCGGTTCATGAGATCAGCCCCGCGTCGGGCTCTGAGCTGATAGCACAGACCCTGTCGGGACTCTCTCTCTCCCTCTCTGCCTCTCCCTCTCTCTCGAAATAAATAAATAAACTTAAAAAAGAAAAAGAAAGTGGAGACAAACTCAGAACGTGGTAACCATGGCAAGTGTCCTACTGACCCTGCCTCAAGGCCCCTCTGAGGCCTCTGTCATCTCTTCCTTTCATGATGTGACAGTTTCCTGCTCTTGATTAAATTATTCAAGGATCCTTTCTTTGCCCATTGCTTATAATCAAAGAATCGTAACCAGTCTGTCACAAGAAGTACCACTCTCTCAAGGCTAGCCATTTTGGCGGTTTCCATTACGCGTTATCCATAACTCTAGGATTGAAAGCCTCACAGTTATCGTTCTGTATCTGGTGGTTTCCTTAGAAAACACAGTAAATTATTTATCTCAGGTTCGAACTTTTCATTCATCTCTTGACCAGAAGGAAACGCCGTTGTCTGGAAGACAATGTAAATGGTGTGTGTGGCAAATCTCCAACGGCTCGGTATCCTTCGCACACAAGTCACAACTCGGCTGGGTATAAAAGTCTTGGAGCACACCTCTTCTCCCTTGAAACCTTCAGACCCTGCCCCACCCTCAGCCCTGCCCAAAACCCCACGTCCTGCTTAAGGACACTTCCTTCCCTTTGGGGACTGAGTGTCAGTGAAGACGCTGTCGCCGTTTTTCTGCTGTCCGGATTCCACTGCAACAGTTTCCTTTCATCCTGAAATCCAAAAAGGCACGTGGGAAGAGTCCCATTTCACTTATTCTGCTCCAAACCTGAACCTTTCAATACACACAGGTCTCTTTCCTGCTCAGAACGCTCTTCAACTGGGCTTGGGTTACTGGTTTTGGCAGACTTGTTCTGGCTTCCTCGGAGACCCCGATCCTGTGCGGCTGGCATCGCCCTCGTCTCTGGCCTCTCCCGCCACCGGCACATGTGCTGTTTACTCTGCATTCCTGGGCATCTTCTCAAGTATGTCCTCCACGGCAGGGCTATTTTCCACCCTATCACTTGGATTCCTTACGGCCTCTGATACAGGTTTTTAACTAAGCCCCAGACTCCCTGCTCTCGGCCGCGTGCCTCTGCGACTCATTCCTTTATCCTTCCTGCCCAGCAGACCGCCTGCTCCTCACTGGGTGTCCCGCCTGCAGAGCCACGTCTTCTCCCCACCACGGTCTCGTCAAGTTTGTTCTTTTTTTTTTTTTTCTGATTTTGACTGTGAATCATTTTCAGAGGCATATTCCTCTTCTACATGCCAGGGTACCTCCCTATTCACCATATTCTGGGAGACCCCGTGTGGGGATTTTCTGTTTATTTATCCCCAGGTGAGCATAGCTCTAGTCCAGACCCCGAGGTTGGCCAAAAGGCCGTGCGTACTTGCTCCTACCCCATCCTGCGTCTACTGCTTCCCAGAGCCAAAATCTGCTTCTTGGAGCTACACCTCTGGCAGCAGAAATGCACGGTCCCCAGCCCAGTGCCCGGTGCCCAGCAGGCTCTGGCCTAGGGCGGCCTTGCCCGACTGAGACGCACTCTCTCTTCGCAACTGCAGATTAAACAGAAGGCAGATATTTCTGCTACAGTACGACGTACAAGTTCTAGAAGAACCTCACGCTCTGCAAAACTATACTGAAACTGTGTGAAAGAAAAAAAAAAAAAGATTGGAGTGGACTATTCAAAACTGCAGTTTGATAACCAGGCCACTGCAGAAATCAATAATGACGCCAATAAAAACATTACCACAGGTTTTGTAAAAAGGCAGATAAAGCTCCTAATAAATAAAAGGTGCTGCAAGTGTAGAATTTTCTCTTTTAAAAAAAGGTGGCAACGGCTTTATGAGGGAGAATAAAGGTAGAATTGAAGCCTCTGGTTTATGGAATCGGGGACAAAAATGCAATCATGGGGAAAACCGGGGCACTTGGGGGGGCTCAGTCAGTTGAGCGTCCGACTTCGGCTCAGGTCACGATCTCGTGGTTCGTGGGTTTGAGCCACACGTCGGGCTCTGTGCTGACGGCTCAGAGCCTGCTTCGGATTCTGTGTCTCCCTCTCTCTCAGCCCCTCCCCTACTCATGCTGTGTCTCTGTCTCTCTCTCAAAAATAAATAAGCTTTAAAAAAAATAACGGGGAAAACCATGCGACAGAGCACATGGCCAAAACGGGCAGGAGGCAGGGCCAAGGAGGGAACGCGTGCATACCACGAGCGCCACGACCCTCCTCCGTGGACCACCACGCTCAGCAGGAGAGTCCCTCACATTCAAATACTGTTCCTTGATGACAGAAATCATCAACATACAGAAAAACCTAAGTATGTTTTGACCCAGCTCAACTTGTGCACTACAGATCTCTTTCTCCCAGGAACCAGCAGCACTCGGGCCTTGTCACGGGACAGAGTGTGCACCAAGTGGGTCCAGTTCCTAGGGCTGCCACAGCACCGCGCCACTGACCACGTGGCTTAAAAACAACAGAAATTTATTGTTCACAGTTCTGGACGCATGAAAGTTCCACAAGTCTGCAGTCAAGGTGTCGGCAAGGCCAACCTCCCTCTGAAACCTGAAGGGAAAGTCTTCCTTGCCTCTCCCGGCTTCTGGTGGTTGGTTGCTGGCAATCGCTGACACTCCTTGGCACCCTGCCTTCGCCACCACATGGCTTCTCCCTGTGTCTCTGCCTTCACACGGCCACGTTCTTGTACGAACAGCAGTCATACTGGATGAGGGGCTCAACCCACCCAGTGTGACTTCATCTGCACGAATGACATCTGCAACAACCCTATGTCCAAATGAGGTCGCATTCTGAGGTCCTGGGGGCTGGGACCCCCACATATCTTCTC